GCCTGGAGGTGAGCAAGCCGAGGTGAGGCCTAGACTTACATTTTCCACATAGCTGGGATGACAAACATGAGCCATTACATCTGGCTTTTTTAAAAATATATTTTTTGAAGATTTAAAATAACCTGATTTGTACATACAGAAAATTATTTGCAGATTAAGTGGATTTATGGTAAAGTATATGCATGCCAAATTGACAAAGATTACAGTTCAGTATGGTTGTGCTGAACTACTCAATTACTCCATTACTGAATTAAATACTAGTCCAAGTCTGCTGTGAAGAGTTGTAGCTGTAGATACTATCTATGATTAGTTGACTTCAAGTACAAGAGATGATCCTTGATATTCTAGGTATAACAAATCCAGTCGCTGTGAGTACTTGAAACAAACCTCCAGCAATAGAAATATGGAAGAAAAGGAAAACAATTATCCATATTCAACCTCCAGAATTGTGAGTTTTAAGTGTGTATAGTTTAAAGCCATCAAAGTGGTGGTAGTTCATTTTAGGAAAACAGGAAGATCATATAGACACAGGCAAATAGTGCAAAGAGAAGACAGGTCAGGGCAGGCAGGCTAGATGGTAGACAAGTGATCAGAGATTAAGAGGACATTCTAAAATAAAGACAATTGAGAAGAAAAATTGGTAGATTAGGAGGTGGGATCCTGGAGGAAGGTAAGAGAGAAAATAAGAGGACAAGTAGGGGGACAGAGATACCATACCAGGTAGATGCAAAGAAGGGAATGTGAGTAGACAGCCAAGGACAGAAGCAGGTGACAGGAAAACGAAACAGTGAATAGGAGGTCCCCAGCACCTGTCCTTGCTAGGATTGCTGCAGCTTCCGGAGATACAGGTGGATCCCACTGATAGACTTCAGTATAATTCTTGTGATGGGGACTGGAGTCCTGGTGGGATCTGGCAGCAGCTCAAAGCGGAGCAGGGTCAGGGCCACAGCCACCTTCAACTCATTCATGACAAATTGCTTCCCAATACAGTTCCTAGGCCAGGTAGAGAAAACAAAATGAGAAGTGCCTCAGGTCCTGTTCTATCCTGGGCAGGGACTGGCCCCTGAGAGCCCTAGCCCATGTGAGCAGTCAGGGCCCTCCCTTCCACAATGCGCTCTCTCTCTCTCTCTCTCTCTCTCTCTCTCTCTCTCTCTGTCTCACTCACTCACTCTCTTTCCCTCCCTCTCTCTCTCTCCCTCCCTCCTCCATCCCTCCTTCCCTCTCTGTATTTCTGTCTCTGTCTCTCTCTCTCTGTTTCTGTCTGTCTCTCTCTCCTTCCCCCTCTCTTTCTCTCCCTCCCTCCCTCCTTCCCTTTCTGTCTTTCAGTCTCTGTCTCTGTTCTGTCTTGCCTGTCTGTCTTTCTGTCTGTCTATCTGTCTGTCTGTCTCTGTCTCTGTCTCTCTCTCTCTCACACACACACACACACCTTTATCCAAGGTCTTGGTTCATACATTTTTTTATTACTATTGTAAAGGTGATGGTACAGAGGGATTACAGTTACATAAGTAAGGTAATGAATATATTTTGTATTGAACAGTGTCACCTCTTCCCTCATTTTCTCCCAGTTTTTCCCCCCCGACCCCCTATCCCACAAGTTCATTTTCAACATAGTGTCTAGTGAGTATCACTGCTGTATAGATCATCCTTTGTGGTTTATTATTTTTGACCTTTGACAAAAATGTGCATTCTTCCAGAGCTAGATCAATCCCTACTTTTGATCTCAAAGATGAGATCTCTGTTTGAATAAGTTACAACACTTTAAGGGATAGAAGCTAATAATGATTATTATTTTAAGAGTTATTGTTTAACTCCTCCATTAAGGGTTTCTGGTTCTCTAATGTGAAAGCTACTGGTTTGGGCCATAGAAGAAGGTATTGGAGGTATTGCCATCTATAGCCTAAAAAGATCTTTGATTATGAGAAGGAAGCCAAATATCGATGAGTAACTCCTAGAAAACACATTGAGTTGGAGATCTCCAAGCTGAAGCCTCCTCTACCTCCCATTTACTGGTCAAACCCCACACATAACCCACAGTCCATCAGCATATATATGTAGCTTTTGAATTTTAATCCAGAAATGTCTTTGCTTGCCATCTTCAGTCCTTCTGGATTTCACTGGTCTCTCTGACCCCCACCATCCCCTGTGACCCTCAAGGCCCTCTATTAGATAGGATATTGTGCAGATGCATCCATACCAACTGCACCTTACTTTCGTAGTCCCACTTCTCACCTCAGATCATGTTGAGGCTGCTGTTATCACCACTCCCTGCAAATCCTAAGGGCCAAGGGCTAATGACCAGCTGGCTCTCTTACTTCTTTGCCAACAGTCCTTTTCTTTCCAGATATTCAAGGGAAATTCTTTATTGAAGGACCCTCCACAGTCCAAAGCCTGAGACAGTATCAGAAACATGGAATATTCCACGAACAGCTCAATGAGTGACTGACAGGGTGAAGGAAGGAGAAAGGATGATGTCTGTCTCAAGTGTAGGTATCTGATTCTGCACAAAACCTCTCCTATCTCCAATTAACTGCCAAACGTCTAAAAGTGGAGGTATGGCTCAAGTGGTAGACTGACAGCCTTGAGTGATAAAGCTAAGGGGCAATACCCAGGCCCTGAGTACAAGACCCAACATTGTACCCCCCCAAAAAAGAGCAACACCCCCTCTCCTCCTCCCCCCTCCCTCCCCGCCCCCTGCTTAAATGCATAGAATGCATAGAAAGTATAAGGTCTGCCCCGGGCTCTGCAGGCCCTGGCTTCCACACCTCAAGCATAAGTCTCTGCCCAGTACCTGATTCACCTAGGTAACTGGCAGACCTGGAAGCAGTTACCTCCCCCTCCTCCAAGATCACATCCTAAGCAGCCTCCTCATTCCTCCCTTGGGACTGAGGGAGGGTCCCAGGCTTTGAAGTCACAACCTCATTCAGTGTGGCCACACCTTCCCTCATCTGACGGCACCTTTTCCCTGCCCCTTCCCTATTTAAACCAAGGTGGGACATCAGCCCACCCTTTCAGTCTATGCATCTCCACCATGCATGGTGGGGCAGCAGTTTGGTAATAAAACTTTTCTTCTTGCCTGAATACCCCATGGTGTTCTCTTCATCAGCTACCTAATTAAACCTACCTATTTAATTTACCTTACAGAAAGTAAATATTAGGTATGTCTAAGCATTTGCCTAACTTTACTGTACCTAGTACAAGCAACATTATTTACAGCCAATATCTAGAAGGAAATACTTAACTCTAGGATAATCCAAATACTGGAAGTCTAATTGATAGATGAATAGTTTGCTTTAAAGCCTATTGGTAGAAAGATGATGCTGCCCTGGGAGAATTCACATCATCATGATTCTAACAGTCCTGTTTCCTACTAATACTACAAGGTTTATGGCAATTCACACTCCACAGGGGACTCCTTGAGCCTTTGTGAATTATTACAGCAGAATGTTTACAATTGTTTGGTTTTTTTGTTTTTTGTTTTTTGTTTGGTCGGTTGTGGGGCTTGAACTCTGGGCTTGGGCACTGTCTCCACATTCTTCAGCTCAAGGCGAGCGCTCTACCACTTGAGCCACAACACCACTTCCGGTTTTCTAGTAGTTTTTATTAGAGATAAGAGTCTCACGGACTTTTCTGCCTGGGCTGGCTTTGAACCCTAATCCTCACTCAGATCTCAGCCTCCAGAGTAGCTAGGATTACAGGCGTGAGCCACCGGTACCCGGCTACAATTGTTTGTTTATAGCTGCTTTACCTGGTTTCAACTGGATGTGTTAGGGACCTTTCAGTGTAATCTTTCAAGTAAAAATAGTGAGGTCTTCCTTAGAGGCAGTATACTGTCCTCGTTTTCATACTTTTTGAAGTTGATTAGTGATCATTAGCAAATTGAAACAAATTAGCAGTGTAATTTCAAAATATACAGATATTGTTTCATCTAAACAATTTGGACAAAGGAAAAAGTATAAGGGGAATAGGAAGTTTAACATAGAGTCTAAAACTGAATTAGGAGATACTACAAATGAAGTGCTGTATACTGCTATAAACCTTTCTTTGAGATGAAGTAGGGAGAGACCAGATCTAGATGACGCCACAACATCCTGGCACCTAGCTGGGTGATGGGGGCTTTCTACTCAGTTTCAAAGGTCTAAAAGTGAGAGAAGCCATCCTTTGAGTTGTAGATGACTAGCTCAGTTGCTAGAGCAAGGGAGGCTCTGTTTAGAGGATGTGCAAATGTATCACGTTGTTTAGACCCAAAGAGGATATGTAAACTCCCTTGGAAGGCCTGCTCCTGATGCCTTTGTTTATGTTGGGGCTTTGTCACCACCCAAACATGTGGTTTTGTCTTTAAAAGCTTGGTGTAGGCTCTGTATGGGGCTGCAAGTCTTTGTGACAAGAATCCACCTACAGACTCCAGATTTCTAATAGACTCCCAATTCGACTTCTCAAAATGTGGCTTTGTTTTCTTGTGACTGAGATTTTACCTTACAACAGAGGGGCTACCTACAATCTTTCAGATATCTGACTGGAAAATTTATATGCCAGACATCAAGTAAACAAACCCAAACAGCCAACCACTTTCTGCAATGGTTCTGGGACTAGAGAATAAGTAGAAAAGTGGTGAGCTGGGTTGAGAATGTGTAGAAAGACAAGACTACACCATTGAAGCATTGTGGCACCTAAAAGCACATGCCTGAGATTCAATTTCCATGAAAAAAAGAATCTAATTTCTACCATCCCACTCCTAAAGTGAAAGGAAACATAAGAACGCTATCAACACTAGCATTTGGGAGGCCATTGGGGAGGGCAGTAGGTCAGCCTTTCTTGGATATGTTCAGAAATACCACTTCTTTTCAGGCACAGACATACCCCCAAGAGGCTTCTTCCCCACAAACAACAAGCAGCCACATGCCTGACTTTACCACAAAACAATGTAGAGAATGCCTAACATTGGGAATGTGCCCAGAGACTACTCTTTTCCCCTACTCCATTAACAACAAAAGAGGCCTCACCTTGATCCTCCGGAGAAGGGCAGGAAAGAGTGGCTGTGTCTTGTAGAACCAGGTGCAAACCACAAAGGATCAAATACCTGTAAGGAAGCACAAGGGCCAGGAAGGAATGAGATCAAGTTTCTTTGCAATGCATGAGGGGCATAACACTACAGGTGGGAGGCAGAGGAGGTGGTGGTCCTCAGAGATCTTCCCCTCCTACTTTGCAGGGTCCTCATACCTCTGGGTTTGGCCACACCTTCGGGTTATGGTGAAGGGCATAAAAGCTGAGAAAGAGCATGACACCTGTGGGGCAGGTAAGGAGACAAAGAGAAGACTTGTTATGCCCAAGGTCTATGTGTTTTTTGTCTTTCAACAAGATGTAGCTATGCATGCATAAAACTTTTGGCTTCATTGATCATCATTTTGAGCAGTTGAGAACATATATTAATTCACTTAGCACTCACAATCACCTTCCCAGAAAGGTATTCGTATCTTCTTCTTTTAGATAAGGCATCAAAGGCTCAGAGGTACTGAATGAAACCTATTGTCACAAAACTAGAGTGTTAGGAGGCAGAGACAAAATCCAGTAGCAGATGAGGCAGCAGTGTCTTTCTATCGTAATAGGACTCTCAGATCTGGCCATTAGCTTCTCTGTGCCATCAAGCCAAGGCTTATTATAGTCAACACTACATCTAATTAACACCTTCATTTACCTCCACTTGAGAAAAAAAAAGAACCAGATCTCCCTAGTATCCCAACCTCAGATCCTGACAATTAGGTCATCATTATGTCAACTGATAGTTTCTTTTGCATGTATCACAATGGAGATATATATATATATATACATATATATATATATATCCCCTGTCCAATATAAAGAATGTGCTGCTTCTTTTTTATTATTATTAAAAATGTATACAGTGAAGAGAGAAGTGGTCTGTGTGTGTTGTGATGTTTTGGTCAGAAATAAAAGCTTAGAGCATTAGAATCTGAAATACCATATAATTCAAATCAAGGGAGCTGCAATCACAAGATCAAAGACTCCAAAGTTGATTGTTAACAGTGGGGAATTAAAGAACCTTGTGATTTTATTCCAATAAATAACAGAATTGAAGGCCATCTTACAAATGATTTATGCCAATGTTCTGAAATGAAAATTTCCTTAGATTTTAAAGGGGAACTAATAGGTATTGAAGTTTCTCTAACCAAGTTCCCCTATTTCATACATGTGATACTAACTACAAAGTAAGTACTGATTTACTGACAAGGAAAAGTAGGACTGAAGGAGATTCAGAACTGAAGTACACATGGGCTTTCCATCCTCTCTTGTCTTTGCTGAGTGCCTAAAAATCCTCCGTTATTATCCATAGGAAGGGCATAGGAGAGTGAGTCAAGGAAGTTAGTACCTTTGGGTAGGGAACGTCCATCAGGGAAGGTGACAGGTTTGCTCAGCGTTCTGCCCACAGCTGGTACTGGTGGATAGAGTCTCAGGGCTTCCTTAATGCACATAGTAGTATAGGGCATCTGGTCCAAGTGGTCCCTGAAACAAAGCTCACCCTGAAGGACAGGCACAATCTGAGAATCACAGTGGTTCCCTCTACCAGACAGGTAGTGTGTTCCTACCTCTTATGTAGTCACTTACCAAGTGATGGAGGCTCCATCTCCCAGGAGGCTCTCTACCTCTTCCCTGCACCTCTGCTGATGCTGCGGGTTTGTAGCCAGAGCATACAAGATCCAGGAGAAGCCACTGGCTGTGGTGTCATGTCCCTCAAACATAAAAGTGTCCACCTCAGCACACAGGTCTTCATCAGACAAGCTGCTCCCATTCTCCAGCTGTAAGAGATTATAGTAAAAAAAACAAACGCAGGTTTTACCTCACTTTGCACTTCTGGGCAGAGCCTTAGACTTCTGCACACAAACCTACTTTGGCAAACAGGAGGATATCCAAGAAATCCAAGTGCCTCTTCTTCTTGATCTTCTCCAGCTCCCCATCATCCTGTAACTGAGCCTTCCTCATCTTGATCACTCGATCTATTCCAGGACAGTGATTAATAAATTTGCCAAACACTATAGCAAACCCCAGAAACCCTGTGTACTTCTTGCCCCATTCTGGGTGCCCTATAAGCAATCAAGGTACAAGGGGATAAGGTTTGGAGTATGGCACCTTTTGATTCAGGTCAGGAATTCCCTCCAAAGCACAGGCAACAGAGGCCAAGTTTGAGCTTACTGGAATGGGTCTCATGCAACATCACCAATTTCATAGCAACATCTGCAACATCTTAGCTCCCAACATTTGCACTAATGAAGTACCCAGCATGAATGAGTATGTCCCAGATCCTTAAGGGCATCAGAGTAGTTGCCTCTGGAAATGAGATCATGGCTAGCTCATTTTGCCTGTGCCTGGTACAGAAAGGAGACAGAATGCACAGAGAGAACCTGTATGCTCATGGGCAATCTGGCCAGCACGACTGGCCCAGCGGCCATCAGAGCTCAGACTGTATATGATGTCATTGCGATGAAAGATACTTCTCAGACGGGAAAATGACAGGTTTTTCAGATCTTCAATGGCCTGAATGTAGGACTGGGAATTCCTGGAGGATAGAAGGCAAACAGGTAGACAGATGAGGGAAGGCCCTGACATAGAGTGAATTCTGGGTGGAAACACTCTTTGTGGTAAGGTACACAAATCACTGAGACACCTATCAGTTTTATCTGGTTCTTTAGAAGATGGCATAAGCGGTCAGATTTATGCCTATATCAGTGGTTTGTAGCTGAGCAGAATTTGGTCTTGTCTGGAATTACAGCTTAGCTTAAGTCTGGGATCAAAATCTCATCTTTTTTGGGGTATCCAAACTGATTCATTTCAGGTGAGTCCCCACCAGTTAGTAATTATAGGACCCAGTAGTTTTAGGGGTGTCACTGACCCATCCAACTGGACGCTACCCTGGTAGCTAAAGGCGCACTTCATGAGGGTGTCCAGGGTCATCAATGAGATGTGTTGGAAGATCTCCAGAGGGTACTCTTGGCTGCTGAGCTTCTCCCATTTGTCCTCTGGTGGGAGAGAGACATTGACCCATTCATTTCCTCTACATGGCCAATGCTATAAAAATCTCAGCTTGCTTCTGTTTCTCTACATATTCTAATAGGATGTCTTTACTTTATAAAGTAGATATATCCCAATGAATTTTGGCCCTAAAGCAAGTATTAGTAAAGGGATGCAGATTTCCTCACAAACTTGTTTCATAAAATTAAGCATGATTTTTCATAGTAGTCATTAGTTTGAACTTGGGGAAATTAGGAAAATTGTCTTTGTTAAGTCAGAAAATATCATTTTAGAACAAAAAGCAGTCCATATGTTTTGCTGAGGGCTCAGCTAGGATACAAGGGCAAGAAGCATCCATTTGAAGGGGGAAAACATTTAAAATTGTTTTCAAAGTAATATAAAGCTAGCAGAGCCAGACTGTAACTTCTAAGGGAGCCATATGGTCCCATATGGCAAACTTTGAGCAAGCTTGTGCTGCTAAAAAGAAATAAACAAAAGTAATCCTGTTGGATGGTGATGGCATTGCACATTGAGAATGTAGACTAGAATTATATATCTCACTATGTGAGTACTCACATCAATGCAGAAGGCCTAGAACCTGGGGCTTATTGAGTGACATCTTTGGAATTCTCTCCTGATACTGATGCTACCATGGACTTGGCCAGCAAGGGACATGCAGTCCTGATGTCTGGCAGGATTGACTACACCCCTTGAACACGCTGATACAGACTTGGGCATATGTCAACTATGATGCTCTCTTGCTTTGGACAATGTGGAAACAGTGTTATTAAGATCCATTCTAAGCTGGGCACCGGTGGCTCACGCCTGTAATCCTAGCTATGCAGGGGGCTGAGATCTGAGGATCATGGTTCAAAGCCAGCCCAGGCAGGAAAGTCCGTGAGACTTTTATCTCCAATAAACTAGAAAACCAGAAGTGGTGCTGTGGTTTAAACGATAGAGTGCTTGCCTTGAGCTAAAGAGCGCAGGGACAGCGCCCAAGCCCAGAGTTCAAGCCCCATGACCGACCAAAAAAAAGATCCATTCTAATTGCTTTCTGTCCTGTTACCTTTGAGGATTGTGGCATCACCTTAGTGGCCTAAAAGTCTTATTCCATAATGGCTTCTTTGTTAAGGAATCAAATCTGTCTGTGGGCTGTGATTGGGTATTTGGACATGAGAGAGCTAGACAGACTCACCAGCATCACCTGGACAGAATTCACCATGATTACCACGTAGGGCTTCAGGATGTCATAGTGGAAAGCTGGGGTCAACATCCTCCGGTGCTCAAACCATGTCTGCCCATTCAGCAGGAGCAAACCATTGCCTGGGCCAGAAATGGTTGGTACATGAATGTGTCAGTGGTGGAATCAGAAAGAAAATTGGGGAGATAAAGGGGGTAGGGATTCTGGGAAAAGATAATAGCTAAGAGAATTTCTTGGACTCATTAAAGAGTTTGCATTTTCAAGAATGTGAACTTCCCTTTTGGGCTCATACAATTGAGAGCTGTCAAACTTGAAAGTGGTCAGACTTGTCAAGAAGAGACCTAAAGCAATGTCAGGTTAAGACTGTATGGAGATAACTCAGGACATATGGAGGTTAGAGCCTAATCATGCAAATATGGTGACAAGGTGCAGGTCTGGTTAGATGAAGAGAAACAAGACCACATTTAAGGATGTGTCTTGACAGCAGTAGCCCATCAATTCTTGCTCTCTACGAGGCTGAAAAATATATCTTGCCAAGGGGAGTGACCACACTTAGATGTACGTACCAAGCCAGGGAGCTAGGACTCTGTAGCTGGAAAGAGATTTTGGGTCTGAAAAAAAAAAGAGAAAAACTTAAAAGGAAACTGGCATATACAATATAAGGCAGCTTGTAAGCAGCTGTATTTCTACAGTTGGTAGTGGCCCAGCCAACCCATTACAAGGACAACTAACAATTTGAGGTTTCAATCCCAAATCAATGTAGATGGGTGCTTTTCTTACAGATGTGGACACTTTATAAAACAAAGCACCTCAATAGGAAGGAAGGGAAAAAGGAAGGAAGGAAAGATGAAAGGAAGGGAGGGAGGTAGTAAAGGAGAAAGAAAAAGGAGAGAGGGAGAAAAGGAGGGAAGGATGGAAGGAATGAGGGAGGGGAAGAGAGGGAGGAAAGGAAGAAGGAAGGAAGGAAGGAAGGAAGGAAGGAAGGAAGGAAGGAAGGAAAGAAGAAAGGAAGGAAGGAAGGAAGGAAGGAAGGAAGGAAGGAAGGAAGGAAGGAAGGAAGGGGGAAGGAAGGGAGGTCGAGAAGAAAATCAATTCAGGCCCACATAGAACTTAAGATATTTAGTTCTCAGTAAATATTATTGGCTCTAGGTTAGTTTGTGGGCTGGGAAAGAGATAGGAATGAGAAGGTTTACATATTTCCACATATGGATAATTTAATTGTACCTTTCTTCTGAAATTTTGAGATTGTAGAGCATGCAGTCAAGAGAGAAGAGCTACTGCCTCTGGGATAGGGTTCACTCTCACCTGATCTCCCCAAAATCACCTTCATGTAGTCAGGATCATAGATCAAAAGAAAGGCATCGCTTCCCCATAGCCAGCGAGGACAGGCGCTAGGGAATTTCTCTACCCTTTTCATCAGTTGCTGCAACTCCTGGTCCTTTTGGAACTGTCACCAAAGGAAAATAAAACCAATGATACCTTTGTTAAAAGTCTCATTCTTGAAGTATAAGAATGGCTAAACAACAAGGGAGATCCAATGTTGGATCTATCCACAGAAATCAGAGACTCACATGGTTAATGAAGACCTGGATTATAATCCAGAGTTTTGCTATATCCACAGAACTATAAACTAAGGTTCTTTCCACTGTTGGACCATTTACATATCCTTGCTTAGAAATGTTCTTAGAATCTTTCCTGTAGCACTGGACCAAGCATTGCTTGATCAGTGTTCAGAGCTGGACTCAATGGTGCATGAAAATTTTTTTTTTTGGGGGGGGGGTGGTCCGGTCGTGGGGCCTGAACTCTGGGCCTGGGCGCTGTCCCTCAGCTCTTTAGCTCAAGGCTAGCACTCTACCACTTGAGCCACAGTGCCACTTCCGGCTTTTTTTTCTTTTTACTTATGTGGTGCTGGGGAATCGAACCCAGGGCCTCATGCATGCAAGGCAAGCGCTCTACCACTGAGCCACCTTCCCAGCCTGCATAAAAAATTTTTTAACAGACCTAACTACATTAAAGCTATGGATAAATTGTATACTTTCCATATTTATGTGTTCAGGATGTGATATTATTTGGATATAGGTTTTTATAGGTAAATAAGGCATTCAGGTAGCCCTAGATTTAATATGATACTGCCCTTATGAAAAGAAACATTTTGGACACAGTGATACGTGCACGGAGCTGATATAGGAAGATGTTCAATTTCAATCTAAGGAGGCACATAGACAACAGATACTGCTTTCATAATTCATGGAAGTAACCAACCCTGTCAACACCATGACCTAAGAATTCCGATCTCCACGCTGTGAGACTGCACTTTCATTGCTTTTGAGACTTAGTCTGTGATATTTTGGTGTGGCAGCCAGCACAAACTGATACAGTTATGTAACTCTTCAGGAAATTTTGTGCTCAAGGAGTGGTTATGAGTTTAGCCTGTTTTACTGAAGAACGAGGAATGTCCAAGGACATGCCCATGGGATTAGATTAAACTCATCCTTGCTGAGTCCTTCCCCTGGGTTCTCAGAGCTTCCTGGTATTTGATCTCAACATTTCACTCTGATATTCTAATCCTTTACCTCATGCTGGCAAACTAATCTTGAAACCTGTCATTTCTGAGTCATTTCTTAGAGTGCAGCATACAACAGACCTTGCAGATATCCTACCTTTTTCCCCCCAAAGTAATAAGTAATACCAGGATGAAATTAATAAATACTTATGGGGAGACTGAATGAGTAACTCTTCAGCAAAACTCTTCCTGAAGGAACAGACACGATCTTGAGCAAGAGCAAGAAGTGAAAAGATCAAAAAACCTGTGGCATAGCCAGGGTGTACAACTAGGGACTATGAACTGTGGATCACTGAATCCTTTCTCATGCACATCAACACATTCCTCCACCTAGCAAATAGTTACTGTGCATCAGACCCTTTACTAGAAGCAGGTAATACATCCATGAAGCAACAAAAACCATTCTGTTCTCCTTCAGTTCAGGGTTACAGGGTGGCCAGGCCATTCTTGCCCTTCCTGCATTGACATATAACCATGATTCTGGAGGACCTATTGGTGTGATGTGATGATTCTTGTTCTGAGGATCAGGATCAGACTGTAACCCTATGGCCTCCTAATCATGTTTGGCTGGGATTTGAAGGAGGCTTTTAGGGTTCACCTGTTAGGGTAATAGAAATCTGAACTAAGAGTGCACTAGGCCGAAGTGTGAGAAGGTCATTGAGAGTGGAAAAGGTCAATATAAAGTAGAAGCTCAGACAGATTCACTCATGACTATTTACTGAACACTCACTTTGTGTGAATTCCCTCTGGGGAGCTAGGGATTAATCAGTGAACAAGCAGAACTTTCACTGTCATCAAGCTTATGTTCTAGTAGGAATAAGCTTGCGTTGGGCATGGGACAGTCAATCATCTGAACTGAGAATAGTTCTGTTATAATTCCTTGAAAAGGTTACTCTGTTTCCCCTTCTCTTTCATCACGAAGCTTCCCTTATCCTTAGATTCAGTGCAGAGACTGACCAAGGAATGGAGCCTGTAATCTCTCAGCTAGCTACATTGGTTTTTTGTCCCCTAGGATCCTCTCATGCTGTGCCTGAAGGAATCTAGGGACCCTGTTCAGCACTGTAGAATTCCTTCTTTCTGATTGCTTTGTGGCCAAGACAATCTGCTGCCTACGTACTACCAATGGTTCAACCTAATTACATGTGGCATTCTTGTTCCTAATTTACCCAATGGTAGAGGTTTTGAATAGCTGAAAAATCTCAGTATTATAAGAGCTAATGGGCTGCAATTGATATTAGCCGACAAAGTTAAAAAGTAATTTAGCACCATGAATAATAGTGTTTATGAAAATAGAAAAATAGAAATTATATACATACTGATTCTAGAGACTAATGGTCATCAGTGGAATGAAAACATCATGAATACTTTAGTGGTTCTTTTTTTTTTTTTTTTGGTCAGTTGTGGGGCTTGAACTATGGGCTTGGGTACTGTCCCTACACTCTTCAGCTCAAGGTGAGTCTCTACCGCTTGAGCCACAGAGCCACTTCCAGTTTTCTAGTGGTTTATTGGAGATAAGAGTCTCATGGACTTTCCTGCCTGAGCTGGCTTTGAACCTCGATCCTCAGATCTCGCTTGAGTAGCTAGGATTACAGGCATGAGCCACTGGCGCCCAGCTTTAGTGGTTCTTTATGCCAACTGCTATCTCAGAATAAAACCTTCAGCTGGGTGCTGGTAGCTCATGCCTGTAATCCTAGCTCCTCAGGACATTGAGCTCAAAGGATCAAGTTTTGAAGCCAACCTGAGCATAAAAGTCCATGCAATTCTTATCTAGCCATCAAAAAGCTGGAAGTATAGTTGTGGCTCATGTGGTTGAGTGAAAATAGTTAAGCAAGTTTAAGTTCCAGTGCCAGAAGAATTAAAAAAGGAAAGAATAGAAAAGAAAAGATCTCCACTTAACTAGTGCTAGTGGCACCAAATAAAAGCCACAATGTCTTGAAATCAACAAGTAATCTGGAAGTTATCACTGTAACTATTTTCATGACCAAACTTTGGTTCTTGGGCTTTGGTTATTTCTGCATAGCCAGTTTAGGGAGGTGCTCAGCCTAAGAGGTAAGACTGATTTTCCTCAGAGGCCTCATTCATGCTTGTCCTATAGCCACCAAGGTGGCTTTATCCTACAGGAATGAGGATTAGCTCAGTAAGACAACACTTCACTGGCATGCATGAAGTCCTGGGTTTGATACCTAGAATTCCCCCAAACGAACAAAAAAATAAATGCCCAAAACATTAAAAGTTCAAAAGAAGTTTTGACCTATAGACTTCTTCATCAGGTAGTAGAGCTGGTAGAGCTATAGCTCTAACCCTTCCTCCTCACCGGTTCTTACCTCATTCTTGTGCCCAAAGAACCAGTGGGAGGGTGGACTTGGGAACTGCTGGAAGGCTTTGAGCAGCCACTGCCTTTGCAGATAGAATTTAATTGCTTTGAATAGCAGCAGAAGCAGGCTGAGCAGCAAGGCCACTTGCAGGAGCCCAAAGAGGCTGCCCAGGAGCCTGGTGTGGCTCAGTGCAGAGTCACTCATGGTGCACAAGCTTCTGGATCACTGACTGCTCCTCACTGTAACAGATCCTTATCAATTCCCCTAAAAGCTGGAATGATTGCCCCACCTACCTGTAGGAGGGAGAAAGGTGTGTACAGAGGCTGGCCTTAGATTCTAGAGTTGAATTTTCACTTGGAAAAGCTAAATACTAAATAAAAACCCTGCTGACACTCTCTTTTCTTTGTGTTCCCCACAAGTATTCCACAAACACTTTACTATGTGCCACACAGGGTATTAAGTTGTGAATCAGAACAACCAACACGCATGAATCTTAGCCCCACAGGATTCATAGTCTAGTTTTCCAAGAGTTCAACAATGTGTGGGTGATACTATTACCATGAGCTCAGTGACAAGAAATTAACTGTTGTGAAGAAAATGGGAAAAGAAAGGTCAAGGGATAAGAACAATTGAGAGCTCAAGGTAAGATTAGAAGCCTTTCATGTTAGCTTGTTAGCTTTTGACGCAGCAGCCTGTTAGTTGTTCTGTGGGTCGTCTCATCTCTACTCTCTAGTTACAGCCTGCTTGAAATTTTAGCATATTACATGCATTGGATGCCTGGCATATATGCAAATTTCATAACACTTTAAAACTTTCATGTGTTTCCTCAGGGATGCATCAATTCATATACTGTAAAGAACTTCCAATAGAATACCTGCCCAGGAATAGCACCTCTACCCAGGATCCTATATCAACTCCTGCCTCATGTCTTTAGGACCAACAAACTTGTATCTGAAGCAGGTTAGTTATAGAAAAGTATGTAGAAACTAACCCCCCGTCCTGTCTCTCTCCTAGTATCTCCCATGGCTACTCCTCCTTGGGGGTAATTAGTGGTCAGTTTTAGTTAGGACTTTACCCTAGGGGTTGGAAAAACTACAGGTCAGTTCAAACCAACCTTAGGCACCTGCACAGTTTAACACTTTGAGTCCTGAACCTGGCCTTTGCACAACTCCTACTTCAGGCTTTAGATGTATATAGGTTGTTTCTTATACTTATGGGTTGGCAACCTTGTACATAAGCAGATTCCCTTCCAAAAAGGACACAAGCCATGTGTCCTCATTTTCCACTATGAGTTATCATTATTATGAGCTCTTTTCATATCCCCTAAATCTTAGAAGACTGAACAGTTTCATCGTGTTCTTGCTCTCAAGCCACCTACTTTGGACTCTCATTTCTCTTACAAGTATAGTCTTTCTCTTTCTCTCTGTCTCTGCCTCTCTCTTAACGTCCTTGCTTTGCCACTTTGTTACTTTTGTTTATGTGCCTTTATTCAGTTCTTTGTTAGACAAATATTCTTACCTCAAAATCTTGTAGGTTTTAGCAGAAAATTAAATCAGTGCAATCAAGTATGATAATGCTAGAGGAATGAAATGTCCATCTTGGTAGCAGAATATTTACAACAAAAATGTTTAAAGGGTGTATGAAAAGGTAATGAAGGGTTAAGTAAGTGGAGGGTTAAGTAGGAGGAGGTGGATGAAGATTGTACATATGGAGCCAATGATGAAAATACGTTCCTCTCGGGGCTGGGAAGGTGGCTCAGTGGTAGAGCGCTTGCCTTGCATGCTTGAGGCCCTGGGTTCAATTCCTCAGTACCACATAAGCAAAAAGAAAAAAAGCCGGAAGTGGCGCTGTGGCTCAAGTGGTAGAGCGCTAGTCTTGAGCTGAAGAGCTGAGGGACAGTGCCCAGGCCCAGAGTTCAGGCCCCACAACTGGACCAAAAAAAAAAAAAGAAAGAAAGAAAGAAAATACGTTCCTCTATACATTTATAGTCCTTGCTTTTTCCATGATTATTGCTCCCAAGAAAAAGTTCAATGCTCCCACTTTGGAAAGTAAAACACGGAAGATACTCTAGAAAAAATTCTAGAAAGTCAGTTCTTGTGGGGGTTGGAGTTTCTTCTGTTCCACTTCCTCCAATACCCTACTCCTTGTTTACTTCACGGCCTGTGGTCCGTTTGTTACACATTATGTGTTCAGAGTTCCTTTGTTTCCTTCCCCAATCCTGAGTTATATTCAAAACCAGGCAAAAATGAGCTAATGTCTTATTCATAATTCCATGCTTTGCTTGCTTGCTTCTTTCTCTCTTCTTCTTTTCTTTCTTTCTTTCTTTCTTTCTTTCTTTCTTTCTTTCTTTCTTTCTTTCTTTCTTTCTTTCTTTCTTTCTTTCTTTCTTTCTTTCTCTTTCTTTCTCTCTTCTTTCTTTCTCTCTCTTCTTTCTTCCTTCCTCTTTCTTTCTTCCTTCCTTCCTTCCTTCCTTCCTTCCTTCTTCTTTCTTTCTTTCTTTCTTTCTTTCTTTCTTTCTTTCTTTCTTTCTTTCTTTCTTTCTTTCTTTCTTTCTTTCTTTCTTTCTTTCTTTCATTCTTTCTTTCTTTCTGCCAGTCCTGGGGCTTGAACTCAGCACCTGGGCACTGTCCCTGAGCTTCTTTTGCTCAAGGCTAGCACTCTACCACTAAGCCACATTCCCAGCCCTCTTCCATTTTTTTTAAAAAACTTACTCTCAGGTCTTTATTTTCACTGGGACTCAGAACACTGAGAGTTTTGGAAAAGCTACTGATTTAATATAAATCATTCTTGTTAAACTTATGCAAAATTAGAACTAAGAGATAATAAAAGGATTTTCTCATACTTGCCTATTTGAAATAATTACTGTTTTGTTGTTGTTGTTGTTGTTGTGCTGGTCCTAAGGCTTGAACTCAGTGTCTGCACATTGCCACTCAGCTCTACCACTTCAGCCACAGCTCCACTTCTGGCTTTTTTGGTCGTTAATTGGAGAATAAGAGTCTATTGGGATTTCCTGCCTGGGCTGGCTTCAAACCACAATTCTCAGAACTCAGCCTCCTGAGTAGCTAGCATTATAGGCCAGAACCACTAACACCTGGTGAAAGTAGTGTTTTAAGGAATTTCTTTAAGAAATCTTTTATGTTAACATGCAACTCATCCTTTACATGTCACGTATATGTGTACAAGTTTCTGCACCAAACTTGATCTTTAATGTCTCTTTTTAAGACTGTAGCAATACTTAGCAGAACACCTGTCCAACCACAGCACTAACACAAATGAGCCTACTTCAACTTCTGCTCCAGGTCTCTGATACCAATGAAATTGGTATTATCTCAAAGCACAGTCTGACATTTATTTTGTTAGCAGTTGTATGAATAAGAATTTCGACAGGCAACAGGTACAAAGACAAAATTTTAAATGTACAATAATAGCATAAGAGAACCAGTTTGCATGGTAGCTTTGGGCCAAGAGTTTGTCTTAGAGCTACCAAATGGGTAAGTCAAGTGACTAGAGGGAATGAAGTGAGATCTGTTAGGGTCCTCAAACTCAATCTCTTATTCCATACTGACTTTTTGGTTATAGTTGGGCTCATAATTGATTAATTTTAGTGAGCACTGTGTGTTCAGGGTAATGATTAATCTACTGCTTTCTCTCCCTCTAATTCTATGAAACAGTTTATTTGGTTTGGTTTTGTTTTTTAGATATCACACAACAGCCAAATTGTGGAAACACCCCAGATACTCTACAATAGATGAGTGGATTCAAAAACCGTGGTACCTATATGCAATGGAATTTTGTATAGCCACTAAAAAGAATAATATTGTACAATTGCAGGGAAATGGGTAGACCTAGGACAAATCACATTAGGTGAGGTAATCCAAGCTCAGTGAGACAAATGGTGCATGTTTTCTCTCATATGCAAAAGCTAAGTCTAAAATATACCAGGATGTAATAAATTATACCGGTCTGTGGGCATTCACACACAAAAGGAGACAAAAGGAGGACACTCTTAGGAGAGGAACACAAAGGTGCAATGCCTATGTGCATCTGACCATACAAAATAATGCTTACTGAAATGAACTCCAGGAAATGGAAGCAAGAGGTTTTCTCTTTTTACTGTTTTTCTTTTCTTTTCTTTTCTTTTCTGTCTTGTTTGTTCATTTATATATCTTTGGAAGTATAAGGGGGGCACAAAAATGGAGGGACAAAGGGTAAAAAAATGCAGCAATGGTACTCACTGGACACTATGTTGAAAATAAACTTTAGAACTTGTGAGTAGGGATGAGAGGGAAAAACTGGGAGAGAGCAAGGGAAGGGGTGACATTGCCCAAAAAGAAATGTACTCTTTACCGCTCTGTATATCACCTTAAAGAAACTGCAATTTTTTTTTCAGTGTAAATGGTAAAGGTAAAACAAGGCTGGCTGCTTGCCCAGGATCACCCAGAATTCTAACCTAGGAAGTTTGGTGCTAGGACATTAGTTATTAACCATTAATGTGGAGAAGGTGAGGATTAGGCTGAGCACCTGAACCACAGAGAAGCCCATAACTTTACAGGGAGCATTGCGTATCTGATATGTTTCAGCCAGTGTTTCCAAGGGGCTGGAAGACATAATAGCACATTTACTCCATATATCAGCACAAACACAAGCCTCACTACCCAGGGAAGCTTCTGGGAGAAAGTGGGTGGCTAACTACGTTGCCCAGGATCACCAAATCCAAGCAGGCCCTCTCATAGCACCATTTTTATTTCTGTTCAGCCTCTACTATTGTCAGTGGCTATTACCCTTACTTGTCTACTTGTAGATTTTCCCCTCTTTTTTCATCAAACAAATGGGCAGAATTATGTCTTTCTAATTGCCCTGAGGTATCTAGAACATATACCTGCACTTGTAGGTCCTCAAGAAAAGCCTGATGAATAATAAATACATTGTGCAGGGTGGGGTAGAGGAGATCTAGGTGGCTTTTCTATTGCACAATAAGCTGGAGCTACTTTCGTTATTAAGAAGGAAGCTCTCCCTGACTGAAATGACAGGAGGGTTGATGGCAGGTGCCAGATGGAGACAGAGTGGCCCCTTGGTATTGGTGAGTTAAGCTAGGTGTGGAAAGACGGTGGCTTGGACTTAAAGCAGTGACTTTGGCAATGGAGTGGCCACTGTGCTAGAACTGTTTAGGGAATGGAGGATACAGGGGATGGAAGGGAGACTCCTGAGCCTGCTTGCACAGCATCTTCCCTTCTCTCCTGCTTGGTGACAC